GGTGTAATATCTGGAAGATCTGTCTGCTGTTTCAGAGGCTCGCCCTCGGCAGGTTCCATCTGAATGTGCAAGTGCGGTGGGGTTTTCTGGAAGTGTTGCAGTGGCGCCTTCGTCCGCTTGGTCTTCTCCGACGCTGCTTTTAGGATCTTCTTTCCTTTGAGTGTGAGGAGGTCGATGTCGACGGTAACGGGCGCATACCGCCTAGTGGACCAGATAGAGTCCATCTTGGCAGGAGACGTCCCCCTTCCAGCAGGTGCCCTTGCACACCTGCTCTCACTGTGATGCTCTACCACGTCAGCAGGCCATCACGTTAGCAGGTCATCACGTCAGCAGGTTATGACATCAGCAGGTCATCATAACATAGTCGAGCAACGTCCTAGCGCTGATGAGACTAGCTGATAAATCCCCAGGTTGAAAAAGCTAAATAAAACACATATATTCTCACACAAAGCAACGAATTTTCATGGCTCAGCTTTTTCCTTAAATGATCTTTTAGTTTTAAGGAGGCAAGGCGAGTGAAGCTGGTAGCACTGAGAGGTCACTCTAAAATCAGAACAAGTTCAACAGATGGCTGAGCAGTAACAAGATCTGATAAATTCACTTCGATAGGTTAGGTTATCACTTTATCAAGATTCACGTAAGTGCATTATCTTCCCGTCACTCGCACTATTTCAGTAAGCATCCATATTCTCCCCAAATAAAGTAAATAACTCTCTGCTGGCCATATGTTATAGATGAAGGCGATCGGTAAACTAAAAATAAAAGAAAATAAGGAAATATAAGTGTAGCAAACTGTAGATGTACCTGAAAGGGTACAACTGGGACTAAGGCTAACTTATTATTGTGGTGCTGGAGGGGGCAATGACCTCAGGCTCTACGGAGCACTACTACTACACGCTACACCAAACTTCTCATTTCACACACCTCAAAAACTTCACCCATCGCTTTTATGTTAAAATATTTATAGTTTCATTAGTCTCGTACTTTCACATTGCATTGTATCACTGATTTTTTTTTTTTGCTGTGTGGCAGTAGCTTCAGAAACAGCCTGTTAAAGCTCGTCTGAGATAAATTGCTTGTGTCGTTAATGTGCCTGTAGGAGTTGGTGGAAGAGGAAGAACAGGAACGTGAGTAGGCCAGTGACTAGCGGTTCCTGCATCACCACCATCCGCGGATCTGTCAACGGCATTTACAACACAGATGGTGATGAAGAAAATGAAGAGACCTGATAGAGTAATGTCCATTGCAGGTGACACTTCCACTGTACTCGAATTCTGGCGTTCTTCCACGTCCTTGGTGCCACAAATCCCTTATATCAACTTCCGGAACACCCACCACGAATGCAAATCAGAAGACGCCCGTAGAAAAACCTCTTTGGTATTGTTGCGCAGCTACTGCTACTCCTTTTCAGCTGCGTGAATAGAAAACCTTAGTGAATGAGCCTGTGAAGAGCGACTCAGAAATACACACGTGCGCCAGGAGTACTCGGGACAATCAAGTGAGCTTAGAGAAAGAGCGAAAAAACTGGAGCTCTAGAGAAGGCACATGAAGGCACGATCGCAGCTCAGCACTTACTGAGTGGCAGCTGGTGGCCAGCCCGCTCCCACAAGCCCAACCACGTGTGTATGTGAGCCAGGCACCTCCCACCTCACAGTAAGCCCCGCCCATCAGTTCTACCAGGACTCCCTGTTCCCTCCCGCACTCATGATCCTCTTCCATCTTCTGACCCTATACACTCTACATTCCACCATAGTGCATCTAAACCTGCACTTTCTCAATAGACACAAACAGAAAGAGACTAAACACGGCAGATTTACATCAGAAGCAAGAAGTTAGTGACAGATTTATTCTCCTTCCTCACAGTAGGACTCCCTTGCAGCTGCCTCATTGGCATTCTGCTTACCAAGAGGGTAAGGTGTCAGGATTCAGGGGGGGGTAGTGTATAGGGAACAGGAGCCAAGAAATACAGAGATGACAGCAGAAAGGCTTCAGGAACAAGGAAGCAAGTGGCAGAGTACCAAGAGGAAAGTTTAGAAGAAAGGGACCTGAAGGCAGAAGTGGTTGTGGGAAGAGGAACTTTCAAGCAGACGGAATAGGATATAAAAAAAAAGAGCTGAGGACAATCAAATGGGGTTGCTTAGAATGGATCGAAGAGGCAAGGGTAAAGAAGACAGGAATGAAAGCAAGAATTAGAGAGCAGAATATGCGAGGTGTTTTATGCAGAGCCACTCTTAAATCTCTATCAAAAATTAATTAAAACAGCCAACATTTCATCATATACATGATGTAATAACATACTATAATTATAACATTTCACCAGTAACTGTGAGCACTTTTCAATTAATCTCTGGAGACCCTCCAACTGGCGGAGGACCCTATGCTGCAGCCCCTATAACCCATCCTTTAATCCGGCTCTGGTTATGTTACAGGAGTCGTCTATAGGCATTGGCCAGGAATCAGAAGACTGGAACTAGGACGTAGGAGACAGGATCAGGAACAACGAGGCAGGAGACGGGGAAAGGCACCAGGAGGCACGAACTTCTCTTAAAGGTCGTGTTCACTTCAGCCTCACGAATTTAGGTTCAGGGTCACATCGTGGTCACAGATGTTCTGATCTTTCATAGACTGGCATAGCACGATCGGTAATGCTAACGAAGTACTGAGTGATGGAATTTCGTTGGAGGGTGAGCATACATGCACACTCACACTCCACACACACACACACACACACACACACACACACACACACACACACACACACACACACACACACACACACACACACACACACACACACACATACATACACACACACAGACACACACACACACACACACACACACACACACACACACACACACACACACACACCACACACACACACACAAAGAAGACCGCAGACGGAGTACAGTCTAGGGGGCCAGAGACTACAAACCTCACTCAAGGAAAAAGATCTTGGGGTGAGTATAACACCAGGCACATCTCCTGAGGCGCACATCAACCAAATAACTGCTGCAGCATATGGGCGCCTAGCAAACCTATGAACAGCATTCCGCCATCTTAATAAGGAATCGTTCAGGACCCTGTACACTGTGTATCTTAGGCCCATATTGGAGTATGCGGCACCAGTTTGGAACCCACATCTAGACAAACACGTGCAAAGCTTTGCAACAAGACTAGTCCCAGAGCTAAGGGGTATGTCCTACGAGGAGAGGTTAAGAGAAATCGACCTGACAACACTGGAGGACAGGAGAGATATGGGGGACATGATAACGACATATAAAATACTGAGAGGAATTGACAAGGTGGACAGAGACAGAATGTTCCAGAGACGGGACACGGCAACAGGATTACACAGTTGGAAATAAAAGACACAGATGAATCACAAGGATGTTAGGAAGTATTTCTTCAGTCACAGAGTAGTCAGGAAGTAGAAAATGGTTTGGGAAGCGATGTAGTGGAGGCAGGATCCGTTCATAGATGTAGCAGAGGTACGATAAAGCTCATGGTGCAGGGAGAGTGACCCAGTAGAAGCCAGTGAAGAGGCGGGGCCAGGAGCTATGAATCGACCCCTGCAACCACAACTAAGTGAGTACACGCACACAATGGATGGCAGGGTAAAGGAAAATGTGTTAGCATGGATGAAGGTAGACCTAAATAGTTATCACTGTAAGAGATCGATCCTCAGGATGGGAAAGTGGAGCTGGTGGGTTTCCACAGGGATCGGTGGTGGAACCTCTTTTATTCTTGGAGATTAATATTACTTATAATGCATAAACTAGCTTCTGATATCATTGTTTACATATGTTGCAAATCTAATTAGGAGCATACAAACATATTAGAATAAGAGTAGTCATCAGGAGAATTTGGACAGGCTTCAGGAATGGTCAAATTAATGGTAAGTGGAATTTAAACTTAACTGAAGTGAAGTGTTGAAGCTGTGAGAATGGGAAGGAGGGAAAGTAAAGCTCACAGGTAATGAAAAGACCTCGAAACAAAACAATTACCCTCAACCCTGTCCAAAGAAGGGCACATAAACACAATAACACTGGGTAACCTCGCAAAGACAACAGTGTCATTTAGGAACCTAGACAAAGACCGGTTCAAAACACTCATTACTTTACATGTAAGACTCAGTTTTAAGTAAGCAGAGCTGTTGTTGAACCCCTCACCGGGTAAAACACAAGAAGAAAATTGCAACACATCTTTCAGCACTGCCTTGTATAGTGTACATGGCCTTCTCTGTGGAAAGAGGCAAGTGTAATTCCCTGTTCATAAAAAGAAGAGCAGAGCAGAAATCAGCAACTATAGATCAGTGTCACTCTTGTCAATCACTGGCAAGATCCTTGAGAGAAAAATCTCAAGACAAATGACAGAGGTTTTTGACTACAGCTCACTACTTTGTGACCGTCAATATGGCTTCAGGAAACGTTACTCTGCTGCTGATCTGTTGTTAAACCTCTCCAATAAATGGCACCAGTCACTGGATGAATCCAAAGTCAGCTGTGTGGTAGCACTGGACATTGCTGGTGCTTTCGACCGAGTGTGGCACCAGGGCCTCTTGGCAAAACTGCAAGCACTAGGAATTACGGGCATAAAGCAGCAACTTCACTCTGGATGTACCCTTCTCCAGAACATCACTTCATCTGAGATCATTTATCCCCAGGATGACGTGAGTCTGGAACACATTCGTACAGCATTGATGTCAGCGAGATAAAGTCAGTTGATCAAATGAAAATGCTGGCCCACAGATGGCCCCAACTTCATCCTGTTCCCTACTTGTATATTTTATAACAATAAAAATGCTTTCAAATGAGCTGATGTAGGTAACAGCTCTTAGCTTGTCAATAAAGTTAGGAATCATTAACTTGTAAATTGCTTGTCAATAAAGAACATAAGAACATAAGAACGAAGGAACACTGCAGAAGGCCTACTGGCCCATGCGAGGCAGGTCCAAGCCTCCTACCGGCTTAAGCCAATGCACCCAACCTAGTCAGGTCAGGTCACATTGACTTAAGGGAGGAACACGGCAACCGACCTGGTAGCACAAGCTATCAGGTCCAACTCACACCCACCCACATCCACTCATGTATTTATCCAACCTATTTTTAAAGCTACACAACGTTCTGGCCTCTATAACTGTACTCGGGAGTTTGTTCCACTCATCCACAACTCTATTACCAAACCAGTACTTTCCTATATCCTTCCTGAATCTGAATTTTTCCAACTTAAAACCATTGCTGCGAGTCCTGTCTAGGCTAGATATTTTCAGCACACTATTTACATCCGCTTTATTTATTCCTGTCTTCCATTTATACACCTCAATCATATCCCCCCTAATTCTACGTCTTTCTAGAGAGTGCAGATTCAGGGCCCTTAGTCTATCCTCATAGGGAAGGTTTCTGATACATGGGATCAACTTTGTCATCCTCCTTTGTACATTTTCCAGAGAATTTATATCCATCCTGTAATACGGTGACCAAAACTGTGCAGCATAATCTAAATGAGGCCTAACCAAGGATGTATAGAGTTGAAGAACAACCTGAGGACTCCTATTATTTATGCTTCTTGATATGAAGCCAAGGATTCTATTAGCTTTATTGCGAACACTTATGCACTGTTGTCTTGGTTTCAGATTACTGCTAACCAGAACTCCTAAATCTTTTTCGCAATCCGTAATATTAAGATCTACATTATTTAGTTTATATGTGGCATGGTTATTGTCCTGTCCAACATTTAGAACTTTGCATTTGTCTATATTAAACTGCATCTGCCACTTCTCCGACCACTGCATCAGTCTATTCAAATCTTCCTGGGGTGCTCGAATGTCCTCGTCAGAATGAATTCGACGGCCTATTTTGGTGTCATCGGCAAACTTGCCGATGTCGCTCTTTATGCCCTCATCTATGTCGTTTATGAAGATTGTGAACAGCAGGGGGCCCAACACTGACCCCTGTGGAACACCGCTCGTAACGCTTCCCCACTCTGATTTCTCCCCATTTATGCAAACTCTCTGCTGCCTATTTGTCAACCATGCCTCTATCCAGGAAAAAATTTCTCCTCCTATTCCATGTGCCTTAATTTTCCTCAATAGTCTCTGATATGGGACCCTGTCAAAAGCCTTACTGAAGTCCATATACACAATATCATATTCATTACCATGATCTACCTCCTCAAATACCTTAGTGAAAAAAGTTAATAAATTCGTAAGGCAGGAACGCCCCTTTGTAAAACCATGCTGAGATTCATTGATTAATTTATGCTTTTCAAGGTGGCTACGAACTGCCTCGGCAATTATTGATTCCATAAATTTTCCCACTATGGAGGTTAGGCTTATTGGTCTATAGTTCGAAGCTAAGGACCTGTCACCTGTTTTGAAAATAGGTATCACATTTGCCATTTTCCACTTATCTGGCACCATGCCAGTTTGTAGTGATATGTTGAAAAGATTAGCCAAAGGTGTGCTAAGCTCCTCTTTACATTCCTTTAGAACCCTTGCATACAGTTCATCAGGGCCTGGGGATTTGTTAGGTTTTAATTTATCTATTTGCCTAAGGACCATGTCACTT